CATTCTGGCATGGCAGCCATAGGCTTCCTTAGATCTTGATGTCACCACTTCATGTTTGACTTTGAGAACCTCCGTCACATCGCTAAGTAGATCCAAATACAACAAAGAAAGATAACAATACTATAGTTGTGTGTAATCACGTTGGTAGTCTGACAGATCCACTCTAACAAACAGACTGCCATTCCTCTTCTCCACTCAGCCTTATAATAGGAGGCTGGGGGACTCAGTGCAAGAGTGCAAGTGTGTGAGAATGCAGTGTGTGTGCTGACTGATTCCCTTGCCTGGTGGAAAATGCTGACTTTTAATGTCCTTCCTTTACTCTTTTCATAAAACACAAAGCCACAGATTTAACTGGGCCTCTGAATCTCACTCCCCCGTCTCTCTCACTGTCCCACTCTCTCTTTCTCTGTATGTCTCTCTTTCTGTCTAAAGCCATGGAAAAACTGATTGAGGAAGAGGAAAAGACAAAAAGGGCTTCCAGTGGAGCCCTCCGGTCCCTTGTGAGGTCGTTCAGTTGAGACTTAATATGCAATATTTCCTACTCAAACCCCTCAGTCTGGAATACTTTGTGGGATTCACTATATTGGTATCCTAGGGCTTGAATTGTGTGTTTTAGAAAACCCTATAATATATTAATTTCAACAGTAAAACTAATGCAACGTGTTTAATTGACACCATTCTTTGCATTTTTTCCCTAAGGTCAAAACCGTTGGAATAAACTGGAATTTAGAAGATCAATCCAAACAGACCATTTTATTTGATTGAATAAAACGCTCATACTTTTTTTTTTATAGCTCTCCAATTTCTCTGCACATGGGACTCAAATCTGCATTAGTAGATGTGGGAACAACAATAAAAGTGACACCTTGCAGTAATTGCTGAGAAAAAGTGGCAGACTTGTCCCTTTTCAAGATAATTTGCAGAGTCATTTTAAGGTGAGTTCACACTGAGCCCGCAACAACATTCACCATCCACTAATGATGGCTCTGGAGAAAGGCTCGCAAATGCACATTTAGTTAAGAATTAATATCCAAGGTCAAGGAGAAACCCTCATGTTTATTATGTATTCTAGTTTCCCTCAGGAATGGCCTTACAGTTACTAAATTGCATTAACGTGTTGTAAATAGGACAGCCTCATGTGTGCGTGTGAGTTTGTGTGTGTACACAACAACAAAAGCCGAGCTAAAGCTTATTTTTAGAGAAAACACAAAAAGGCACATCTTCCCTGGAGTGAAGCCAGAGACTAAACAAAGCTTTGGTCAGGAAGAGCTCATGAAAACTTGAAGAAACCCACAGGCAGAGAGACCTAGACACAGCTTGGTTTTAAGATGTATGAAGAGTCATGAACCCAGAAATGCAAGCACAGAATTACAAACATAACCAGAAAGCACTGTGTGACAGCTATTATCTTTTACAGAATGGATTTACAAGACCCCTTCTGAGACCAACTAGCTGTATTCACAGCCTTGTGAAGCAAAAAGCAAGCGGGATGAAAGACGACGAGACAACTTTACTATTTGCACATCTTTAACACTAGCAAGCCAAATATTTGACAATTAGGCTTGAGGGTGTCAAGGGAGGATAAGCTATGGTGGCTGTGTGCCATTCAGGGGCTGGAACAACTACAGTGCACATTTCTGGGCCAAATGTTGTACAAACACAGCTGTCCTTTTTCTTTTGTCTCCTTCAAATTCAGCCGAAAAAGCAGCAATTTTTAACTAAATTTGGAGTATATCTCAAAGGCTGTTTTGGTGTTTGTAAGGCTAGCCCATCTCACCCATTTTGAATGTCATCAGCCAATTGAATGGTTAGTTAGTTTTAGTTAGTTTATTTTTCTTTTTTCGAGCGTGTAAAACTAAAGAAAATACAAATGAAACAAAAGGTGATACAGACATGATACAGTACTATACACATGAATGCAATAACAAAACGTAACATTTAATTAATAATTGAATAATCTATAGTATCATTGTCTGATATCAATAAACAACAAAGCTTTAGCTAATTACACGTCCGAAAAGGGGTCGGAAGAAGTTTACACTTATTTAATCCGACCCCTTCTCCCTTTTTTTTTTTACATCTTAATATATGTTAACATACAATATAAATGTATACTTATAATCTTGAATAATTTATATAATCATTCATATAATATATACAGGCAAGTTAGGAGAATGGTCATTTTCCGTTGTTATTGTTTACTTTCTAATGCTTCAAACTGGACAAAATGGGCAAACTGCTCCTACCTTACATTGTCCAACATGTTAATAAATGATAACGGCCTTCTGAACCATGGTTGTAGCCCCTAACTACCAAATAGATGTTGATAGCTGATAACTGCTAGTTTTAGACTTTGTTGTCATTAGCATAAGTTGTTCGTAGGGATAAATAATAAGAGTATCATTCTCTAAACAATAAAAATGCCAAACGTTAGCACGTAAAGTTGGGATGGAGGTGAAAGCTAAACATTCAGTTTGTCATTCTGAAGCCTAACCCTAACCCTCATCCAAAAAGGGCAGTTGAGGGAATACCAAATGGGGCAACAACCCAACCGACCATTTTATGGATGCATTTTCAGACATTAACATCCTAATGCAACACTCTCACTCTAGTCCTTACTATCCACAATCGAAATAGGACAAGATTGGACCGTATTGTACATTCTAAATAGAAATTCCACAAGTGGAAAACAGATTACAAGTTCACAGAAATTATGCATTCACGGCCCAAATTAACAACAACACAGCTGTTTCAAATTAATTTTGCACAATAGTCATGAGATTTTATTTCTGACAAGACATCCAACATAACTTGAAATGTACTGCATTTCACCAATAAATCGTTCAGCATTATTCATAAAAAGTTATGAAACACTGGCTGCTTTGAGCTTTTGTGTGTGTGTGTGTGTGTGTGTGTGTGTGTGTGTGTGTGTGTGTGTGTGTGTGTATGCCAAGACTCCTTCAGGAATCAGGAGCCTAAATTGACAAAAACAAAGACACACACACACAACTGTTTCCCTGCTGGGTTTAAAGGCTTCCCTATGACGCAGGAATTCTTTCATGTTGGACACTAACATGGTTTGTTAGGTGTGTGTGGGTGCGTTTTCACACACATTCCCAAAGTGACAGCGCTGAGTAATGGCTACCACATGGCCGAGAGAAGTTAGGAACACCTTGATAGAGAGGTTAAAAAAGAGATCTCCATCCTCATCTGTTTATCACCGCCCCAATTCTCTTCCATTTTTTTCTTTGCTACTCTCCATCAGCACTCACTTCACAATTGTTCCCTGATAGTTTTCATCTGTCAGCACCTTTTAAAACCTCACACCCCATGACTAATCCTCCTCCTATCAAATATCACACGCCTCTCTACCCCTGCTGCATTGAGCGTGACTTAAAAATACTTTCAAATTAACACTGACACTCGAAGCACAAAGGGTTCCCGCGCTGTCCAAATACTTATAAATATACAGATACAAAAAGGACTTCTGCTTGAGGAGAATTTGGCAACTGCACGGATCAGACTGTTACAGACCATTAAGGCTGTGCAGGAAAAACGTGACTCTGGTGGAAAGAAGCTTCCACGATACACGTTGTCAATTTTAACTGCTATTTATTTAGCTGCTCGTTTGTAGTTGTTAAACGATGCTTTACATAATTGTAGGTTTTATGACTTTGGGGTTCATTTTACCAAATGAAAAGCTGGAAGAGGAGAGAGGAGGTCTGTTGGCTTTATTAAGAGTGGCTTAGTCATTCTCCAGTTACATTTCATTAAAATGCTTATGCTGATGTAGCTGTTATATAACATAAGAGGTATTTGGGGTATATTTCCAATTTTAATGAAGTTCTCCTTGTGTCACAAGAACGTGAGTGAAAATCAGGTTTCATTATCTAACATCTATTTGTTTTTTCATCTAGCTCTGCCATTTCCAATGCCTTGAGTGCAACAGATAGGCATGTTCACAGAGGGATGTAAAAATATTTTTCGAATAGGTTGCTGCCTATTTGTAACCTTCCCATTGCATATGACATAATGGCTTTCCTCAAGATTGCTTTCGCTGTCATTCAAACATTGCCTGATGAGGATGAGTCTCCATTTCTGCAGCCCAGTCTGACAAATCTCCCTAAACCATGCATGGAAAAACCTGCACCAATGTGTTGTTTTCAACCACAAGAGGGCGCCCTCCATGAAGGGAGAATGCAACAGTTATCACCTGCCTCATCAAAAGCAAGATGCAAATCAGTCATTAAGGAAAAACAGTATCATAGTGCAAATATACTTACATGGGACATAAACAGATAATCTGATTTTGTTCAATTCAAAACACACATCCTAATTAAATTAAATAACTGTTTAATTAAAAACATACACAAATACTATTAGATATATTCGTTTCATTGGGATATAATTTGAATGTAGTGTTGCAATATGGAGGGGCAAACAGAAACAAAGTAGTCTTCCACGAATTCATTGAAGAGTTTGACGTGTATTAAAAAAGCAGATAGAATTAAAAAGATATACAAATGCACATATTTATTGGGTCCATTGTGAAAAAATTGCTTAGCTTAAATTGTTTAGATTCCCTCACAATGCACTAAACATTCATTCACAGCACAGACGCATTTAACACTCACACACATGCACACTGATGGCTGACAACGCCCCTTTCATTTCCAATTTCTGAAACTTGGAGCCACTCAGCAGAAGTTATGATGTGTGTAAAAATACACGACAGCAAAGGCTTCTTAAAACTCCTAAAATACATTCAAACAAAAATAAACTCTCCATTTTAGTATTAGTAATAGTTTTGTTTATGTTGCTGACTTATATAATATAATATTAGGCTAAATACTCACCAGAAAGAGACCTGGTAAAGGTATTAGTGTTATTGGTATATTTCAAAGCCACATTGGATTTGAATATGCTATGAATCTCATAGAGAGTTCCGAGCTGCATTCAAACAATATGCAAACTGGAAATAATAAGTTTAGGCTGCTTACCGAGTTTGAACAGAGGAAGAAGAAACACTCCAGATGCGTCTGTGAAAAGGGATATTAAACTGAATGTGTTTTGCGGGAAAACAGCGTCCAAACGTGACAAAACGGCAGCTGGAGATCTCGCTGGTAGTCCCAAAAAAGTTAGAAACGCACGTTCTCTGGATCGGCTATCGTGAGCGCGCGAGGGAGGGCTCGAGGGGGCGGGAGCTGGGTGTGGTTTGGGACTTTAATATGCTAGTGTGTGTGTGTGTGTGTGTGTGTGTGTGTGTGTGTGTGTGTGTGTGTGTGTGTGTGTGTGTGTGTGTGTGTGTGTGTGTGTGTGTGTGTGACACATGAACGAGTGGTGACAAGAGTTTAGTGTTTATTTAGTTTAAATAGGCGGGAAAGGTTACTATTTAAAAAATAACTGATGGCAGTCTGAAGGGAAGTTTAAAAGTCTGTGTTTCCTCACATGGCAGGCAGACTGATCAAGAGGAGGAAAAGAAAAGAAAAGGTCAGACAGAGGTAGACAAAAGGAAATTAAAAGGATCAAAGCGGATACAAAGTTTAGAACAGGTTGGAATGAAGCTCAGAAATGATAGTGAAAAGGAGCAAGAGAGGAAACGTGGGTTAAGAAGAAAAGGAGAGGTAGAAGGGAGCATAAAAGTTTCATACTTTTACAGGTGACACTCGCCTATTTCTACATTTGTATTCACATTCCCTTTTTATTTACCTGGAACCTTTTTATGTCTGTATTGTTGTGGTTTTTCACCGCAACTCTAAGAACAGGTTGGGAAGCAAGTTTTTTTGTCTTTAATTGGCTGGCTTTCAACTGATTACAATCAAAACAGTTTTTCTCATGTGCTGCAAGAAATGTAACTGATCACTTCTTCTGAAAAAAGAAAAACATTAATGAAAAGGCTTCAACACTCAGCAATCTAGACTTTAGAAAAGTAGATTTTCTGTCACTTTTCGGGTTGCACCCTTCTTCTTTTCTTCAAACAAAGCTCTACAGACCCTCTGTCCTCGCCCCAGTCAAATCCCAGCAGCTGTTGCTTTTTTTTCTGCTGTCATTGTCCTAAATCGGTTGAAAAAGTTAAAGAAAAAGACAAACAACATTCAGCCTATCGCACGTTTATTGGCTTTCGTGGCATTAATTTGAATACGAATTCCAATACCAATGTGAAGATCGATACCACTCTCGTGTTTATTTGTCAATATGTAGCCAGCAGCTGGTTGGCTTAATTTAGTTTAGCACAAAGGCTGTAAAAACTGAAAACAGCTAGTCTCTGTCCAGAGTAAATCAGCTTGCCACAATGGTGACACAAAGTCTCAGGACAAGAATAGTCTTATTTTTAAATAGTTTGCATTAATTGACAGCTGAAGGTGTAAAAGTCTTGTGTTTATACAATGCCACACCCATCTCTAAAAGCATATCAGCTCTGGGGCGAGTCGACAAACATCTCCTCCATAGAGACTTTCCATTTGCAAATAAATGATGGCTGAAAAATCTACACTTGACTGATACCTTAACAATTATCCCACAAGCAAAGGTTTGTCAGTTTTATAAGTTTACATTATGACCTCAGGACGTTATGTTCTTTGTTTATCCCTTGTGCTCAGTGGTCCGATGTTACCATGGCGACATTATGGGATTCTTTTGTGGGGTCATAAGAAGACAGTTATTTGGGACAGGCACGAGGTAATGAAGAGGGTATTGTCAAGGCTCGTTATGCAGACCATAATTCTTTGCATTTTCCAGACCTCGGCCACGATAAGGAGGTTGTCGTCACTTATTGAATAAAGGGAATACCATCCGTCCAACCTGATGTAAACAATTTAACATTACAATTTTAAACGTTATTGTAGGTTGTGCTTATAATTAGTAAAATGGTTGGCATTTACCTGATAAGTGGTGGGCACAGACTCTGTAGGGCAGGGTGACACATTGGCTAGTGAGACTGAGCACATGGGATGCCCAGGTGACCCTAAAGTGACAGAAAGGCTTATATTGGACTAACATAGCATTGAGTATGTGATACTCAGCAGGGTTCGAAATAATATGCACAAAAAGTAACACCTAGTAGGAATCAGTTCTAAATAGCTTCATCTTTCCGAGTTGATGCTAGTTAGCCTAGCTCGCTAGCTTTAGCTTTACAAGTGGAATACGAACAAAAGCTTGGTCCGCCCAATTTGAATGTTTTGTATACTTGCAAGCCCTCATAAAGTCAGTAACCCCTTTTGTGAAGTTCCTTCAGGAGAATTGAGTTGAAAAATAACCAAAAAAGGACCCTTTGTCAATCTCGAGAGAAGATTGTAGAGCTTCTGACACTTGACTTTTCACTGACAGTCAGTACATGGAGAATGTTAGAATCAAAGTTAAGCAAAAAATTAGTACACCAACTACAAGAATACTGCTTCATCCTCCCATGTCTATTATTAAAGCAGACATCATGAAACACGGCCATTAATATTCTTTTAAAAAAGCCTCAGGACACCCGTTCCTGTTGCTGGGTGAGAATGGAAGGTTACCATGGACAAAGATTCTCGTTAGACCACAAAGTACTCTGAGAGTGTTTGCACACATTCACATTTGCACACATGCAGTTTGCGCACACTCATACATATTCACAAGCGTTATCACATATGCCTACTCTCAAGAAAAACATACATAAAGTGTTGTGCAGGCAGGAGGACAAGAATGGGTGGAATCTGTAGTTGAGCTGATGATAATAGTTGTGTGTGTGCACGCAACTGTGTGTGGCAGTCCATTGTATTAAGTGATACAATGGACTGCCACATACAGTTGCGTGCACACACACAAACACAAACACACACACACACACACACACATTTCTTGCATTTTATGTCTCCATTGCACTTGTTTAATTGTTTATTGGTGTGTATTTCAGACGAATACGAGTAAATATCCATAAAATGGCAGCGGTTTGCATTTTCTCTCTTTTCTCGAGAAATATAATACTCATTTTCCAAAACAATTTTAAATTGGACCCTTGATTTTGATTGGCAACGAGGTCTTCTGCAGGATATCATCATAAAACAAAAAATCCCTGCATAACTTTTGCTCTGTGTTTTTATATTCCATACTACCACCTGGATGCCACCCTTCTGCAGCTTGTTGTAATTTTCAACATGGCATCGCTGCACGTAACAGCACACACACACACACACACACACACACACACACACACACACACACACACACACACACACACACACACACACACACACACACACACACACACACACACACACACACACTTACACGCTCACACAGGCCCACAGCTAGTGTCTGTTTAAACAATAAAGCAATCCCATCATCCTCAGCTCATCAGGAAACTGACCCCCCATTCAACGGATCTCACACAGACAGAGGAGTGATGGGAACAGGTTTATCGTCTCTGCAGGTGTCAGGTGTCCACCAAGCAACAGAAGTCACACCCACACTACACGTCACATTAGAAAACAGATCAGTTCCCGGCTATTGTGATAGACCTAATGTGGGAAACAATAAGGTGAACACAGCTCCACCCTGTAACAATGCGTTTACAGTTGATCTCACCTGGGGCAGAAATAGAGCATTGCTGCCTTGTGCTATTATGTGTCTGCACTTCTAAGATCATTTCTAAATACAGTACAAAAATAATTTTAATATTGCCAATGCCAACCATGTATTAAATATTTTACACTGCTTGAATACTCGACTCTGATTGGTCAATTTGGACATTCAGTGTTCTGCTCTTTTTAAACTATACAGCTCTGTGAACAATCTTATTCTTAGAGGGAAGACAGAGCCAGCCCACATTAGGAAATACACTTTCCCATTTCTGGAGTATATGACCCAGAGGCAAAAAGGATTGCATTACAAAAGTGGAAGAGGCCCAACTACTGCAAATCCACATGCACATAAGAAACATTACCAGTGCCGGAGGGCATGCAAAAAACGGTATTTAACAAAAATGTCTAATATGTAACAATGCAATATATATATGTGTGAAATGATCATGTTTTGTGTACATTGTTAATCTGCAAAACGAGTTACTCAAGCTGTCTAATTTATGTTGGGCAATAATGATTTGCCACTGCACATTTTCCTCTCACCCCAGTTTGTGCCTCTCATGTATCACAGTCAAGCAAGAAGCAAATTCATTTAATACTTGTATTTTCTGAAGATGATTACAAAAAGATTCTGTGTTTCAAGAATAAACCTGTATGTAGTGAGGTCTGTATTAAAATAAATTATCCTGCTCCTGTAGAGTTTTTACTGTTCTTCCTGCAGTGACATCTTGTGTAGAGCGACAGTGCAGCATGCATGCAGAAAGTATGAAGTCTGACTGAAATAATACGTAACTATCTGTGATTTTAAAAAGATGTTCACATTTTAGGCAATTTAGACGTTTTGACACAGAACTACTTCAGAGATTAACAACTTTAAAATGCATGTCTTTTCATGTAACTTCAGCAACTGGAAGTTAACTGTTGCTTGTTTCATGTAGCGCCTCCTGTGTGACCAATACAACTAAAATCTCTCCACCGTCTCCGTTTCGCCGGCACTTGCACTACCTGGACGCATGCCAGACACACACACATGAAGAAAAACACACAGAGATCTACAGCTAGACAGGAAGCAACCCCCCAATCCCCTGTTCCTGTTTCTCACAGCATGCTCATGTGTGTGTGTTCTGTAGAGGCAACTCTAGGCAATCAGCAGAAGGCAGATTGAACAGCACAGGCAGAAAATACATTAGATATAAGATAGTAGAAGATAAAAGCAATATTACTGGCCAGAAAAAAAATACACCAAAGATTAAACAGAGAGAAAGAAACAGAGATAGTGAGTCTGAAAGATGTGATTGTGGAACAATGCTGGCGGTCAAACTGTTTTCTACACCTCAGTCCTCCCTCCCTTCCTCTCCTCTAGCAGGGGGGAGAGAAAGTGTTCACACTGGTGCAGATAAATGTGAGGACAATTTATATTTTGGGGAATTTTTTTAAAGGTTTTACATTCACACTGCAAGCTTCAAACAATTGTAGTTTGATATAAGTTGTGTGTTGATGCTATTCTCAAGACTTTTTGAAAAAATACTGAAATAAAACATGGAATAGAGGCATCATCATGGCACAATAAAACTTTGTTGATGTTGTCCGACAGCTGCATGGGTTTGAAATGGGTCGTA